CTTATAACCTTTTCGAGAGTGAGAATAGCCCAAAAACACATACTTCAAATCCTTGGGGTCAAGCTTTGTACGAGTCTGCCCCAACTGTTAAATAAAGCACACACACCTGAAGACTCGCGGAGGAATCAAAAAGAGATATGAATTGGGATATAAGATTGAGAGTGGGGCTGTAAAGTTAAGAACCCTAGAAAGAGTCTTATTAATGATGTAAATAGCTGTAAGAACTGCATCTCCCCAAAATGACTGGGGAACATTCATGCCAATGCAGATTGCTTTGGCTAAGTCAAGAATGTGGTGATTCTCTCTCTCATAATGACCATTCTGTTGAGGAGTTTTAACATTAGCCATCTGATGCTCAATCCCAAATTCTGTTCATAACCATTGTACCTCCCCATAAGTGTACTCTGTACCCTGGTCAGATCTGAATTTTTTAATGGTACAACCATATTGAGTCTGAACCATTGTCATAAAATTTTTAAAAATAGTGTATACCTTATTTTTGGTTTTCATAAGATAAACCCATGTAACAAGACTATGATCATCAATGAATAACATAAAGTATCGAAATTCAAGACTATAAGTAATTGGGCAAGGACCCCACACATCTGAATGAACAAAATCAAAAGGTGTTAAAGCAGATTTATTACTAGCAAGATAATTGAAACGAACATGTTTAGCCATATGACATGTCTCACAGGATAAATAGACACTAACACGTTACAAAATAAGAAATGAAATAAATGTTTTAAATAATAGAAATAAATATGTCCTAAACGCATGTGCTAACGCATAAGTTGGGCTTTATTGGATGAAACAATGTTAGAAAATGAAGCTAAAAGTGCTTGAGGTGACAAAGGAGCATCCAACAGGTATAAACCGTCCACTTCACGCCTATTGTTAATCGTCTGTTTTGACACCAAATCCTGAAAAATACTATAAGAGGGAAAGAACATTACATTACAATTTAATTTTTTAGTAACGTTACTAACAGAAATAAGATTTGTAGTCAACTTTGGAACATGAAGTGTATCTGACAAATTTAATGAAGGAGTAACTGATATGTGACCCTTCCCAGCAATGAAAGATGGAGAGCCATCCGCAAGGCGGACCTTGCGATGGCTAGAGCAGATATTATAAGAATGAAAGAGTGAGGACATACTAGTCATATTGTCTAAAGCTCCAGAATTAATGATCCATGGTGTCGAAGATGTAGATACGCTATGTGCAGATGCAATAGTACCTAAGTGGGCGTAAGTGGAGGTTGGCTGAGATGATGCCTCCATTTAGTTGAAGAATGGCTTGAACTTGTCCAAATTAGCTTGAGTCAAGGTAACTATGGAAGAAGATGTAGAGGCAGAGTTGTCACAAGTTGACAATGAGATTAGTTGTGTAACAGAATGTGCAGAGGATCGAGGCTGTTGCTTCTATTGCGGTGGGCGTCTATGTAGAGCATAACAACGAGATTTGATATGACCAATTTTTCTGTAATGGTCACACCATCCGCGTTGTCACCACGGAGGAAGACCGGTGGTAGAGCTGTGAACTGACTAGGATGGTACAGTTCTTGAAAGGTTGGGAATCCAAATTGCCATAGCAGAACGATCAACAAAAGCAACACCTAATGGATGAGTCCGACAGCTCTCAGCTGATAGCACATAGGAGTATGCATCCTCAAAAGTGGGGAATGAAGATAAGCCCAATAAATGATCACAAGCATACTCAAACTCGTCGTTCAACCCGACAAGAAACTGAAACACTCAATTCTTCTCCACAATCCCTGTATATAAAACTGCACTATCTGGATCGTTCCAAGAGTGGAAGGAATCATAATATGACATCTCCTCTTAAATAGCATGAAGTTTGGCTATGTAATTTGACATTGTCAAGTTACCTTGAGAAATCCTAGTGATATTTCGCCCTAGGAAAATTTGTGCATTATTCTGCCTCTGAGAATAAGTGCGTTAAACTGAATGACAAATCTGCTTAGCAATCTTCATAAACATATAGCCAACAGCTATGTTTGGTTGCTTCGAATTGACTAGCTAAGACATAACCATAGCGTTATCTGCAAACCACTGTGGATATGCCTTTTCTAACTCAACTGGCTCTTTCTCAGAACCAATAATATAGCTAATATTGCCCTTGCCACCAATAAACATCTTGGCAGACTGTGCCCAAATCAAATAGTTGGAACCATCTAACTTCACTGTGGTGATTTGAAGTCTTGGATTTTCTTATGAGTTTGTGGGAAAAATGGCACCACCACCCATAAAATATGAGCCAATAAAATTAATAGTCGAGGACACTGAATCTTTGATAATCTATCACATGACAATAAAAAAAACTCTAAAAATACCACAAATTCTGTTAATAAATCAAAGGGTCTCCTTAGACAATAAACAATAACAATGTCTCCTTAGACTATTCCCGAAGAATCCAAATACATACCTTTTTTAAAGAGCACTGCCCACTTATATATAGCCAAACAACCTCCTTCTTAATATCCGGAACCTCTTTGTAGACTATTATTTTTTTTTACCCAAGCCCTTCTAGGTGTTAGAGACCAACGATTCCAATTAACTCAACCTTAGAAGAGTAAAACAGAAATTGTAAAACTTAAAAATATCTGTTTTCGATTACAAAACAACAACACAGAAAAACATGTATAGGCAACGTCACACGATGTCACAAACAGCCTAAGGTGGCTATCGCACAAGTAGTAAGGCTGCTAAAAGGTGTGGAAATGTGTTGGCTTTAATACCAAGTAGAAATATAAAAAGAAGATAAATGAGAGAATTGCGTAAAGGCTTGAATGAGATGAATTACTCATTCACAACTCTAATATTTATAGATAAAAAGAGCATATGCTCATATTACAAGAAAGAAAACTAAATTAAATCTAAATCAAATCACAACCTATTCTAAAGTATATTTTATGGCATATTCTACAACTTATACAAATCTCTGCTACTATGGTAAATCATTCCATAAATCGTGGCTATCATATATGCTAACATATGCATAGTCAAATCTCTGCTATTATGGTAAGTCATTCCATAAATCGTGGTATCATATATACTAACAGTTATTATTGGAGTATTAGAGCTATTTAATTTCACGTAGTAATCAAAGACAAGTGGTCCAGTACAATCTTACCATGTGAAGTTTTTTATCTTAAAAGAAAAAGAGGTGAGTTCTATTAGGACTTGTCACCTTTAAAACGATGGCCCACATTTTCCCATTTGGAATATAGAAGTTATATGGAAATATTACTGTGCAACTTCATGCAATTACTTAAGACAAATTCAACCAATTAGCTCTCAACACGTGGTGAGTTCTACTGAGCTTACCACAATGTTAGCCATAGTATAACAATTCTTTTAAGAGTTGTTATTATTGAAGGTTTATGGAAAAATCGTGTTTTCAAAGAATCCTAAGTAAAAGGAAGGTTTCCCATTATGACAACTCCAGAGTTGACCAAGCAAAATGTGGGCTGGATTTTCTCCTTATTTTTAGAAGAATTCAAACAACTATTTTAGCTAAGTCAACAACATTACAGAAGAAAAAGGGAAGTGGGTGATGGTTTAAAATGGCAAGTATATATTTCTGGATATATATATATATATATATATATATATATATATATACAAGCACTGAAATACGACCCACGATGAAGAGATTTCTGAAATAAAGGAGTCCATGATGCCATGAATTCCAAAACTAGAAATGAATTAAAGTCTTGTTGAGGGAGGTTACTAAAATCATGGATGCGTGGTTTGTAGAAGAAAAGAGACGTGGAGGATGATTTATATATATATATATATATATATATATATATATATATATTTGTATCAGATACAGCCCACGATAAAGAAGTCGCTGAAATAAAGGGACACGACGCCATGAAAACGAAGACCAGGAAAGAAAGTCCAACTGGAAGGAAGTTACTCAAAGCCGAGGAGAACATAAGTCTGTAAATAACAGATATAGATTATATGCATGATATATGTGATATATATAGAAAGAAGGCTTCTGCAGAAGGAAAAGACTACTAGAAGCGTGGGACACTTGGCCAAACAAGAATACATCAATTGGAAGTGGTGGTACTTCATGCAACTACTACCACTAACTGAAGGAAGTTATAGAAGATTATGGATGACAAGACTAAATTAATAAAATCATGTCTGAAATATGAAGAAGGAATCGACGGCAGAATAAAAGGGAGCAAGAGATCGTGGGACACACGTAGGTTTGTGAAGAGGACAAATGGAAAGTTAACTTTAGAAGTATACATAAACTTGAAATCATGGAAGACGTGTTTGAAGTCAAGCTCAGAAGAAACAAAGAGGAAGAAGAATATGGAAGAAGGTGGTTACAACCGCCAAAAGATCATGGGACACTTGGCAGTCCGAAGCCAAGCCAAGTGGAAGCTACCAAGGCTGCTACATCAAACTACTGCATGCAATAAAGTCTATAACTAGGGCACTAAGGCTTAACTTGCAAATCATGTTTAATACATACAACAAACAGTACCTTTACTTATTTCATTTCATGTATCTTTACATTTCTGTAATGTATTTACATTATATCTAATTTAAGTCAAGCACTTATTTTTCCTACTTTCCAGTAAGTAATCCATAGCTTTTCTTGCAAGTCCTGCACTTTTAATACCGTCTTCATTTCTACTAGCTATAGAAAAGTCCCGAAATCCTTTTCAAGGCAAAAAGACCTTTGAAGGTAGTTATTCCAAACCTTCATACAATTGCCTTATCCTTACAACTTCTAACTAGAATATTGTTCTGATATCCACTTTGAAACGACAGCAGTTCCTGGCATGCCCGCTCCCCACGATTCTGCTTTCCACTCACCCGAAAAGCGGAACCGCGCTTCTTTTCTAAGCCGAACACAATATTTGAACTAAATTCATTCGGTACTCCAAACAAAGCATTAGTTTATTTGACAGTAACCTGAAGGAAGAATTAAGACAGTATATGATGTACCTGGGTTTTGAGAAGCGTTGTTGCTGAGGATTCCAGAGAAGACTTCGGACTTGTTCATGTAATTTGTTGATCCAAGAAGCGTTTGGGCTCTCTCCAAACACGACTTAATATCATTACACCACCCACCACCCTATTTAAAAATAATAGGTTGATCAATGATTGAGAAATTAAAAATCATAATGTGTAACAGCTAGGGACCTAGTAGCTAAAATTTAATAACCTTTCATAGGCTGATCAATATAACCTAATTTTAGGTCAAATTAAGGTGACACTGACCTATGATTCTAATATAAAGAAATAAATAAATAAACTTGATGTTTTTGGTTTCTTAACTTCAATCTTTCAAATCAAATCACATTTTAACCCTAAAATTTCAATAGAGAAAACATATGGTAAAAGGGTTTAAAATTCTCTGCAAAATCGAAATAAACGCAGTGCAACTTGAAATAAATAAAAAATAATAAGAAAAAAAAATCTGGAAATAGAAGTTCAAACACGGTTTTTATTATAAATAGTGAAGTTTTAAATCCTTTAAGAAAATGGTTTACATCTCTATTAATTAATTAATTTCTTTTTAAATAAATTTGATACTGACAGTAAAATTAAAATAGTATAATTAATATATAGACGATAAAAATATTTAATAAAAAATGATAAATTTAACCTGAAAGTTTGACTTTAATTGCATGGACAGTTTGTACTTTAGGGAGTTACTTGAAAAAAATATTTGTTTTATATATATATATATTATATTATATAGAATAAGATTATTATCAGCCCGTTCAAACATAACACATAATTCATACCCGATTTGTTTAATTAATAAATTATAAGTTTGGGATTTTTTTTTTTTTTTTTTTTTTTGGGGAAGAATTTAGGTTTCGGATTGTTAATTGTTATCAAAAATGAATCCATTGAAAGATTTAACTTTTGAGAGCTAATATCTTGTGTTAGTAAAATAATACTCAATTCAATTCATTCACCGGTACGCCATTATAGGTTGTTTTCAGGATCATTTGACACTTTTGTGAGACCATTTTTTCTAATTCTGAGAGTTTGGATTGAACTCATCCTCCAACTTCTAGGGTTCAAGAGTCACTGAACCCTGATTGGGTAACAAGAAAGAAATGCTAAATATCCCCAACGAGAATAAGAATTACCTCGAACTCTAGAAGCCAATTGCTTGCTCCATCACCAAATCCACTGTGAAGATGATAAGCAGGCAAACTTCCATCCAAACAAACTACCAATATATATATATATATATATATAAGAATAAGCTTAAATTATTTTCTGAAATGTAATTCAAGAGAAAAAAAATTCAAATACAATTTTCATTGAAGGCTTACCAGCTCCTTGAGCCGAAGCATTTTGAACCAGTGTCATGTTCACCTGAAGACGATCATCATCAGAGTAAACGCACCATGAAGCGCATGTTAGCAAAAGAAAGTTAATGGCAGCCCTCAATTTCATTGTCATTTTATCAATCACAGAGAGTCTGGTTGGATTCTTCTTTTTGTTGAAGAAGAGAGAGGGTTATATATATATATTGGATTGTGTTTACAAAATATGAATTTAAAGGTTGGAGGTGCTATTGTCACTCCATTTTTTTACTTTTACATTACAATTTTAAATGAAAGGACAATTAAAACCTTAAATTTATAAATAAATTATTATTACTTTTTAAAAAATTTCTCTCCTTATCTCTCATCTTTAATATTTTAGGTCTCTTTTGACAAGATAAAAAATAAAATAAAAAAGTTACCATTAAAATAACTATCTCTTTTGACAGGAAAAAATCCCAAAAAAAAAATATTTATTGAATAAATTATCTCTTTTGTCAAAATAAAAAAAATAAAAAAAGAAAACAGAAAAAGAGGATTATATATATATATATATATATATATATATATATATTGATATTGAATAAATTATCTTTTTGATAATACCATAAAAAATATATATATTTCTATTGAATAAATTATTTTATGGGACCACAAAAAATCACAAAAAAAAAAAAAAAAAAGTCACCTCTTTTGGACATGATTAAAAAAAAAATTAAAAAAAAAAATCAACTTTGTTGAATAAATTATTTGTTTTGATTGCACCCAAAAATAAATAAATAAATAAATAAATAATCATGAATAAATTATCTCTTTTGACTGTTAAAAATAAAATTATCAGTTTGGAATAAATTATCTTCTTTGAGAGACCTCCGAAAAGAAACTATAGCACTGGAAAAAAAAATAGTGAAGGAACTAAAGAAGGTAAAAATAAAAATAATAATAATAAAGTTGTATAAAGGCTAGTTATGTCATTATAAAATAAGGTATAGTACATTAATGAATTGAAAGACATTTTTGTCATTTTCTTTAATAAAAAAAAAAGATAAATACAATACAATTGGAGAAAAGTGGAGTGCAGATATTACCTTAATATGTGAGAGAACAAGAAGAAGAAGAAGACGGATCTTGGAAGCGACCATGGCCCATGAGAGAATATAATGTAAGTATACATGTAGGAGAAGAATCTTGGAAGCGGCCATGGCCCATGAGAGAACATAATTGAAGTATACATGTAGGAGAGAATTGTAAGTATAATGTGTGAGAGTTTTATATACTTATATTTGGATGAATGTAGATATTATGTCGATATTAATTAATGACATCAGGGTGATATCAATCTCGGGTCACATAAATTAAGTATGAATTGTCATACCGGACTCTCAATCATTTTTCTAATTTAAATGATGCAAACACCACCAAGGGAAGCTGGAGCATTTCCAAAAAACTATAAGGGGTAGTTTGGTGTGCGTGAATGGAATAGAATGTGAATGGAATGGAATGTGAATGATGATTCCCGTTCTCTTGTTTGGTTACAAACATGGAATGGGTAAAAATGATTTGACTGATGTAAAAATTAAAATGGAATAAATTTATATTGTTTTCTCCAAATAACATTTATCATTAATAAAAAATTTAACTAAAAAATTAACATCTAAAGAAATTTTTTCCAATAAAGAAATTTTTTTCCAATCTAGGGTAAGTAAGAGGTTTGTAATAATGAAATCGGGGCAAGAGATAGAGAGAGAAAGTAGAAAGAAGAAAGAAACTGGACACGTGAACGGAGGTGTTGGAGGTTGGGTTGCGTTGTGTGTTAGAGAAGATGATGATGGCGCTAGGGTTGGATTATGGAGAGGAGTATAACAAATCTTCTTCCTAAAAAAATCCTTCCTTTATTTATTTATTGGAATTGATTCACCCCTTCCATTAATTAAATACTACCTTAAAACACACAATGATTACTGTACAGGGAAAAAATGTTCTTGATCTATTTATATTGCAAAGTATTTTTTGTACAATACGTGATGCATCGAAGAATATATATATATATCTATATATATATATATATATATATTATGAAAAGGAGTATAACAAATCCGTGATGAAGCAACATATGCATAGAGGAATATATATATATATATATATATATATATATATATATATAAGTTATTGGATTATGGAAAGAGTATAACAGATTTGATATGAAGGGATGGATTGGAAGAGAACAAAGACGTGATGAATGGTTTTTTTTGTCATAATTTTTTTAATTTTATTCTATGTGGGAATGGAATGCTCATTCTATTTTTAAAGAGATGGAATGAAATAGTGGGAATGGTCATTCTCGCCTCTTGATTCTCTTTCCAACTTTAATTTAACCTACCAAACATGGGAATGGAATAAAAACCATTCTCATTCCCTCTTAATTGATTCCATTCCGTCACACCAAACTAGCCCTAAATTAAATATAGAGAAGAAAAGGGGATCATAATTTACTTCTTTTGATTTCTAAAAATGTTGAAAGGACAAAACTGATATTGTTTCGCGTTAGAAATGGCAGGGTGCCTTTCCCAAAACCATTTATCAAAAGACCACCATTTAAATTCTCTCACTGCGTCCCTACTGGCCCCTCCCCCTCCCATTTAACTATTTTTTTTTTTTAAAACAAAATATAAAAATAGGAATGATATGAATTTATGATATGGTGAAGAGTAAAATTATTAGGTTTTTGGCTAGATTTTTGAATAAATTATACGGACCTTCTTTAAAAATGAAATATTATTGCACAGATCTCTCTTTTTAACAGGCAAATGACACAGAATTTATATTAAAATTTTCACATTACCCTTGGTTCATTTGCTCGTCCTCTCTATTTGATCCTTCATTCTTTTCTCTTCCGTCGCTCTGACAACTTCGACTAGGTAGAACATAGACCCACTATGGATGTTCCACCACCAGTGGACAGATGGATGTTCCACATTTTATTAATTTTTTAACTTTTTTTTTTTTTTTTTATTCAGTTATACTTAAAAACTTTAATTTTTTTTCAGCATTCATGTCTTTATTTGTTCAAAAATTGAATGTTAGTAATTTTTTAAAATGTATAAAGAGTTATACACTCTATATGTATACAATATTTAAAATGTATAAGAAGTTATACACTTTGTATACGTACAATATAGTGTGTAGGTGTTTCTCGTTCGTGACTATATATATATATATATGTATATATATATATTGAACACTATAATGAAGTTTATCTATCTGAATTAATTAAGTTTTGAATTCGAAACATGTCCACTTGCGCGAGTGGGGCATTTAAAATAATGAGTTCTTTTAAGTACACGATTGTTTAATATTTGCTTTAATGTAACAAAGATGGAACAAAAGTAACTTCCACTAAAATCTTCTGGTGCTTTGTGGAAGTAATATATACCGTTCTCTCTAAGCATTCCAATTGTTTCTTCATCACTGAAAGCTAATAACTTGTTTGCCATCTCTATACATTACATGTCTATACCACAAAATTATACTATTATATGTAGTATATACAATTACATATAAATATATATATATATATATGATTGAAAGATATTGCACTTTACAAGGGCCAAGTAAGAATAATGAAATATAATATATACAAGTACATTTAAAATATGTGTTTGATTGAGAGATATCGCACTTTAAAAGGGCATAGAGAACAAATTAAAATTCTAATTGAAGCAGCTGCCATTATTCGATACCATTAATTAATTCCGATTCTGAAGTTGGCCAACTTGAGAGGCATTGACCTCTTGGATAAACTATTCATTTCTTTACTTAAATCTTTCCCAGATATCACGACATTTAAATAAATAAAAAAGGTGATTCGCTTTAATTTTATTATTCTTTATAGCACACTCTGATGTATAATTAATTTGCATTTCTCCTGAAGTTGCTAATATTTAAACATTGTTGCCTTGGGTAAACATCAAGAGAATGATATTCATATTCTAATTTTTATATATATTCTTGTATTCTACTTATTCATTTCTTTTTATAAAATAATTTTCTTTAAAGGTAAATTCGTACTCCACGCATGGTTCGCAGTATAATGAACTTAGAATACAAAATATTTTTTTTTGAAATAGGCCGAAAATATAATACTGTAACAACAGTGCATTAAAATAAGTAAATAAAAATTGAATAAGAAGAGAAGAAAAAATAATAATAAGGTTATTGCACATAAATTATGCATGAGTGCAAGAAAAAATAAATTTTTAAGAAGAAAAAATAAATTTTTAAGAAGAAAATGAAATAAAAAGAAAAAAAATATATGAGAGAATTTTGAAGGAAAAAATAGGTTTTAATTGTAGAAAGAGAATGTAAAAGTTTTTGAAGATGACAAAATGAAATTTAAAAAATAAGAAGGAAAAGGAAAAAAAGAATTAAAGACGTTTTTAGAAATAGATAATTTTATGGGGGCTAATTTGTAAATTTTATGAGACTGTTTTATAAATATTTACAAATTATATGCATAAAATTAAAATAAAATTTAGTGGATTCAGGGGCATAGAGGTCATTTTATTAATTTTAGGGGGGCATTTTATCAATTTTTACAAATTTATGTATATACAAAAAAATAAAAATCTAGTGGGGCAGCATGTTATCTCTGTCCCTTCGCGTATTGGACAATACGACGAACCATGACTCCACATTTATTTTAAAAAAATACTCATACACCTTACTTTTCAAGAATAATTGTGACATTTCTTTCTGTAAAAGAATCAAGAGGTATAGGAAAATCCTAGACATGCTAGGGAAATCCATTTTCTCCTCTAATCATACCATGACATGAATTTGATTATTGTATACAAATTAATTAATGAAAATTGTATATACATAGCAACATGATGGTTATTTGAACTTTATTATGAATAATATTGTGGGTGTGTGATTTGCTTGAACTTCTGAAGGAAAAAAATAAAAATGCCTAACCTTGGTTCATCTACTCCTCTCTGCTAGATCCTTCATCCTCTTCTCCGCCGTCGTTCTTACAACTTCGAAAGGTAGAACATAGACCCTCAATGGATGTTCCACCACCAGTGGACAGAAGTGAGACCCACCAAAGGTGGTCACATCAACGTCAACCCTAGGTTT